CCACGAGCACGTGAAGAACGACGCAAGAAAAGAATAACAGCTGAGAAGGGAGAAACGTCGAATTGAAAGAGCAATCCACAGGTAGATCGATCCTCCAAAGGGATTAAAATCGAGAGCGACGCTGCTCTTCGACGCTCTCCGTGCATCGAACGCAATAAGCGTCGAAACTCAACTATCGTGCCTCCTTGAGCACTACGTTTCTCATTTATGAAATATTATGAAACGATTATGCATCTATGTATATATTTGTTAATATACGTAGTAGTCTTTGAATAATTATACTTAGGAAAATTCGTAAGCGTACATTGATTAAAAAAAGGAGTGGTCTTAAGTAACCGATATGGAATAATTCCATTCACAGTTTAATCAAAAAGGGTCTAAATGAGTCTATCGTCGACGATGCGATACAAAGACGTTGCAAACTACCACCAATAAAATAATAATCGTGTAACGATTCCTTCGTGAACATTTTACCTGTTCATTTTCTCTCTCTCCTTTTCTCTGGATTCGCGATTCTTATTTAGAGTTTGATCATTGGTAAAATTCGTAAAACAGAAAAATTCGGGGAAAATGGCTATTAGCAAACGTACACACTTACATCTCCAAGAAGAAGATACCGAGCAGGAAAATCTTCGTTAAAATAATCCACCATGTACGGTAGAACATTTTTATAAATATGTGTGAGAAAGTTTCATTCATAGACCGATATCGGATGGTGGTATGCATCCGCAATAGAACAACTCTTGCAGAACCTTCAGAATCAGTTTATCGACCCTCTGCTTTTCTTTGGCGCTAGAACTGACATAGTTGTCCCTGTAACGTAGATAAGGAACTGTGTACGCTCGGCACCAACGTAGAAATTCACCGGTGTCTTCCGTGCGAATGAACGTGACGATGGCCCAAAGCGTGCACAAGTTCCGCGACTTCCGTTTCGTTTGAAGGTACAGCTGGCAGACGTCCAGGAACATCATCAGGTCGACGACGCTCTTCCCCATCGATGAGTAGGCGATCGTTTTGAAAATCTTCTTTCTTCGAAAAATTCTATTGTTCTTAATCTCGCGTATTTTCTTCTTTTCTTTTATCCTATGTTTTAGCACCTGCAACGAATGATCGCTTGGAATTAGCGACCTTTCTTTAATAGATTTTTCACGACTTTGAATCGATTTTTAAAGGGGCTTTGGTGTTACGAATGTTCAGTTAACTCTTTATAAATTTCGTGAATTTTTCTTTCCTTTTCATGCGCTTTAGAGAAAATAAATCGATCGAAGACACGCTGATATCGCGTCCTTTGATCCTTTAAACGTTTAATGGAATCTTCGTTAACGGCTTTTTATAAATGAAATAGTTCGTAATTGTTTCATAGTTGATACTAAATTCATGATCCTAACAATTCTTTTTTCTTTTTTTTTAAAGTTAAGGTTTAAATTAAAAGATAATCATCTTTCAGACGATTTTTAATTGGTCTGCGTTTCCATTCATCCAATATTTTAAATGTTCAGTAAAATCTTCGTCAGAGGTTCGTCACTAATCTAATGTAATTATCGTAAGAATCCACTATTTACAAAAGTTCGATACAAACATCCCGATATTTGATCAACATCGAGTATTTTCATCTCCTTATCGCGTACCGATAAATTCGCATTTTACTGTCTGCACATCGATCAAAGTCTGTGGAACGTTCAAACAGACCCATCCGCTGATTCGGTCGACAGTTCGACGAACAGATGTCATTAAACATCAAACAACTTCTCGATTCTAAAATCGAACAGAGATAAATTCTTATCCAAGCAAGTAAAAAATCTAATCCGATTTTTATCCAACTCAACGGTGTCCTTATTGAACACGTATGATATCATTTCATCAACTAAAAACTCTTCTCTTTAATCCCCGCGCTTCTTTATTACACTTTATGGATTCCCTTCTCATTTTGCTCCGTTTCATCTTCGAAGTCCCCTTTTATTTCAATCTTCGCGTTTCTTTCACTAGTATTCTACTAAATCATAAGTTTGCCACGGCTCCTCTACGATCTTTTATCTTCTATTACAATTGCCTCCTTCTTTTCACAGCATCTTCTCCCTCTAGAATCCACTTATTTTTACTACGGTCGCTTCTACTTAATCTTTTCATATTTCCTTCTTTTTATAACTCATCCTCACCCTACAATCTTTTGTCTTTTTTCATTCTTTTTATACTTGTCTCTCACCGTAACTATTGTTTCTTCTTATCATCTCAGCGTCTATTTAATCCTTCCAGTTTCTCGTTTCTACGACTCTTCCTTGAAATCTGTTTCCCCTTGCTATCATTTGCTCCTATCCGCTACCATATATGGAAATATATTTTACAACTTCACGCTCCAGAATCGTCCGTCTTTGATTTCACGGTCGCCTGTCTTCCTGTTTCGACGTCAACGACAAACCGATCGAAAGGAGGCTGCCTCGTCCAACGAATCGTTCCTTTGCTCATGCTCTGCACGAAATAACGGGCGGATCGGATTTCTGACGTACGGAAACGTTATCGGTGGTTGGCGAAACCGCCGATTACACTGTCGGCGTGTAATCAGAGAGGCAGATCCCCGGAATCGATGCAGCGGCGCACCACGAGTGCACGGATCACAAAAATCCGCCGTGAAAGGTAAACGGTACACACTTTGCTTCTCCTCGAGTTCTCCTCGACTTGCCCGTTTCCAAGAACAGGGAACGGCAGGATCAATCCGTGGAACCGTGAACAGCGTCACTGCTCTCCATTCGTGACGCTGCACCGCCGCCCCCGCTTGTTCTCTGTACAGACAGCCACCGATAGAGGCGGCGGTGGTAGCAGGTGGTAGCAAGCCTTCAAAGGGAACGGAGGAGGCCTCGTTTCTCTGCTTTTCTGTCGCTCCCTCGCTTCGACCGCGCTATTCACTCTCTCTCTCTCTTCCTCTATCTATCTGCTCTCTCTGTCTCTTTCACTGCCGCCTGTACTCGATCTCTTTCCAACCCACGGCCAGCTTCTGCTTTACGCGTCTCTGCCCCTCTTTATCGGAGACATCGTGGTCCTGTGCAAACACATGCTGAAAAATGGAACTTCGCATGGAACAGAGCTGAACGATTCTCTGTTGTACCAACAATGAATCTCTCGTTGCACCAACAATATGTTATATCAAGATCTTCCTTTTTTTCAGTTTTCCTGATTTTCCGTACGTTACTCTTTATACAGACCGTTCTCACTTTGCAGGACGCAGTAGTAATCGAAACTGTGTTTCTCTAGATATAAAATCCTTCTTCCTTCGTCTTGACATCTATGCGATTTTTCTTCTTACTCTGAAACATACAGCAGTAATCGAACTGTCTTTTTCAAACCATCCGTAGAAATAGAATCTTTCGTTCTTCGTCTTGACACGTCTACGCGATTTTCTTTCTTATTTTCAAGTATATAATGCAGTGGTCGAACTGTCTGTTTCCAGCACCGAAATTCTTTCAATTGTTACAAAATTTCTTTCTTCTTTGTCTTGTCGATTTCTTGTTAGCCTTTGCGAGAAACGTATACCAGTAAGGAAATTCTCTTTTTCGAAATCTTCTTCCAGCTTCTGCGATTACTTGTTACTCTCTACAGTTCTTCTGATTCTGGTACACGAACTTCCTTTCTGGTGCTCCTAGTTCTTTATTATCCTCTATGGGCAGCTTTTCCTAGCTCACACTCTGCTCTATCAAGTAAAATATTACTCTGCTATTCTCTGTATGTCACTTTCCTTCTCATTCCAGTTTATTTCACCAAATACAGTACCTTGGGGTTCGACCGTCCCCGGTTCCAGCCACTGCTTATAATCTTATATTTCCGTGACCTATCCAATCAACAGAATTTTCCTCTCCCACCCTGCGCGGTTGTTCCACCATTACGCTTTATGAATCTCTCTTACTTCTGTCCATTTCATCAACTAAACTCCCTGTTTCGCCTTACGCGTGTCCGCTTCTCTATTACACTTTTTATTCGTTCTCGTTTTTGTCCATTTGATCTTGCGACGCCCTTTTTGTTTCAATCTCCGAGGCTTGTTCTGCCAGTACTCTACTAAATTATGGCTTTATTACAAAACATAACCGGTTACCATAGGATCTTTACCTTAACATTTCCTTTTATCCTAGTCGCTCCCATTTCACTCTCTTTTTCTTATCGATTTCGCGTCTTTCGCCGTAAAATCTTCTATTATTTTTTATCAGCTAGCTTTATTAACTAGCTTCCACTCGGTCGTTTCCTTTTCTTAATCTTATTCCTCGATTATTTCCCCTCTACTTTTTGTTTAACTCGCCTGTGATCGTGTGCCTTTCTCCGTTCTTCATTCATGATATTCTTCCTCTTCTCCTCTCTTCCTCTCCGCTCTGTGTCACTAACGCACGTATACTGATACATCCTATCACACACACATACGCGCATATACTGACGCCACCAATACGCGGCTGCGCGTTGAATTTATTCGATATCCTCTTTCACATAACCGGGTTAATTTTGGTGCGCTAGTTTAACCAATTTAACGACGCACGTTGGACCAACGTCGCACGCTGTATTGGCCACTCTCGGCCGAAACACGCACGCAATTTCCATGCACGATCCTTCAATCCGCTTCGAGCTTCGATCCTCACTACGATAGCCCGAGCGTTTGAAAGAAAAACCGCTTTTACTCCATTTACGCTTTCACCGTCACGATACGACGAAATGATTTCTGGACGGACGTTGTTCGTGAAATAAATTACAACTCGCCGATGAGACCACGTAATTCCACGTAAATTCCACGTGAATTTCACGTAAATGTAACCTGCTTAAATAATTCCATAACGGGATTTATATATTAAACGTGACGTAAGTAATCTTCGAATGAAATTCACGAGCAATCTTAGCGGAGATATGTATTGAGTTGGCAACTAAGTGATTGCGGCCTTTGTCACTGGATGGTAATGACAAAATCCGCAATCACTTAGTTGCCAAGCCAATAATTGTAAGGTTTCTATACGTCGATCAGCTATGGAGAAGCAACGCGTTGAAAAGTTTCCTTGTGACAAAAGGCGTGCGTAATGGCTCGTCGACAACGACGACGCGTATTACGTCCGGAGGCAGTGAATAGAAATACCTAGAGTAAGCTAGAATTCGCAGCTGTTGCAAGTGATAGTGAAAGTGTCGAGGAGAAAGGAGAAGATAGGAGCAAGATAGCGCGGAAAACGTTTCAGGCACGCGCTCCACGTTGAAACACGATTTCAAGATCGACGGTGTAATTCTCTGATTATTTTCTTTATAGAGAACGAATCTGTTTGTACGTCGGAACACGGTTAAATAAGATGAATTGCCTATGATAAATAAAATTATTCGAATATTTATTTCACTTGAAGTAATTGGATTTCGCACAAAAATTGCAATTATCGAGATTCTTAAAAGCTGTCGAAACAAAGAAGTTTTATTATAGTTATATTATATAATATAAATAATTAATATTAATAAATAATAATTGATAAATAAAATAATTAAATATCTATATATTAATATAAATGTATTATATTTATATTATATTATAACACTATAATATATAAATTCCTAAGACACACTGCTGAACATCGTGGCTGTCCCGCACCTCCTTTTTCTCACATTTATGACGTTGTTCTTAGCAACTTGAACCTTCAGCCACTGAGCAATAGAAGGATGATGTTTGATATCTTGCTCGATTGTAAGATATTCAAGGGCGTAATACCTTGACCTGACGTGATTCAGCTGTTTCCTCTAAACGCTGCTTGTAGAAGTCCAAGGAATTACAATTTGCTTCATTCTGAACAACACCGTATAACATATGGCTATTTTAATTGCGTAAATCGCACAGCTATTCCTTCTAACGCTGAACCATCGGTTCGTTAAAACACTCTGTAACACGCTTACTGAATTTTTGCATTTGGTTTGTCTTGAAACTTATACTTTTGTCCTCTGTACCGAAGATAGCAAAGTGGTTTTTCCTGTCGCGGTTAAATAAATCAATCAAATTAAGCGAAGAATAGAAGTAGGACATTCGAAATTTCCTCAGAGAAATTTAAACTTCAGAACGAGAGAGAATCGATTACGATTCTTAACAATTATTACGACGAAGAAGTAACTATAGCATAATCCATAATTCACATCGCGGAAACAGAGTTTCTCGGGTTTCTCGACGATTCAACGTCCACGAAGAGATAAAGTTGAAAGATTCAGCGAATGTTAACGATCGTGAGAAATTGTAGAAATTGTAGAAAAATATAGGGCGGTAAAATGATCGATGAAATCTCGCGGAGATCCGTTTCGAGATGGTATGTCTCTTCCGAACGATTTCACCGACGAGTTTCAAGTTTGTCACCTATTTACGCGACGGAGTTGTATCGAGGTCCTTTTTACCCGTTTTTCTATAGACGTCCTTCGTCGATCGAGTCCCAGTTCCAACGCAATAGACGCCTCCGACTTGCAACTTTAACCTAATTACAATTTACACAACGTCGAGACCGATTTTCTTCTCCTTCCTACGGTTTTCCATTTATCGTTTTACTCCGATCACTTTTTCAGTCGTTCGACAATTTTTCAATCGATGCTCCAACGATTTAACTCGAATTTTCCTTATCAATGATATTTATACGATAATTCAAAATCTTTCGTGCAATTAGAACGAATACGGTTCAGATAATTAACTGTTTCTTGACTAAACATTCGTAGCTAACGTTAAAGTGGTTTCCAACGATCGTATGGAATATTATTAGTTCGTTCGAGTTTGCTTGCTTGTTCTGTGCTTCTCTGTGCATATTATATGCATAGCAATCCATGTAGAATATAATAAGATACGTCTTATTACTAGCGTTGCCGATATCTTATTCGTGATAATTAATTCGCTATTTCTGGATTTTTTAAGTCGTAATATCTGTATTCAGAATACTTTGCGCCATATTTACATGCGCAAGAATAAGGATCAGCCTAATATTGACTCACGGTATTTAATTTTCAATTTTGTGACTAGACGTATTATTTACCAACTGGAAAAAAACTATTGGATCAACGTGATTTGGCAATTAAATAATTTAACAGGTAATGTGTTTCTATGTATTGTGTAAATTTATTCTTTCAGAGATCGATTCTGTCAACTTTTTTCTGTTCCTTCCTTTCGTTAATTGGACAGACGAGACGTTGATGTTTGGCTAACAGTCTGCTGCAGTCGGA